GATATCTGAGTCAGAAGGTCCCTGGAGGAGGAAAACAGCAACTCACTCCAATATTCTTGCCTGGAAAATCCCATGGAAAGAGGAGCCTGGCAAGCTACAGTTCTTGGGCTCACAAAGAGTCGGACACAACTGACCTACTGAACACACACAAATACACACACATATGAAACAACTCTGCCAAGAAATATAGGTTTCTCTAATACACATTAAACATCTTTTAGAATAAAAACACAGTCAGCATCAAATTTTGCATATCATCACACTAAAGCACTACTGATGACCTTATTCAGACCCTTTATTTAGATGCTACACATGGCACTTATCTCTCCTATTTAGAACTAACCTGGTTGTCTGAATTTATTTATTTCTTTAACCAATATTTATTAAATAGATACTCTGCTTCAGAGACTCTGTGCTACATATTATACTAGATGGCAGGGTAGAGGTGCCTCTTTTTATAGTACATAACCCTGGACATTTACTTAGACACAGTGATTGTCACTGGATTAACATGTACCTTCATTTATTCACCATTAAAATCATAGCATCTGGTCCCATCACTTCATGGGAAATAGATGGGGAAACGGTCGAAACAGTGTCAGACTTTATTTTTTTGGGCTCCAAAATCACTGCAGATGGTGACTGCAGCCATGAAATTAAAAGATGCTTACTCCTTGGAAGGAAGGTTATGACCAACCTAGATAGCATATTAAAAAGCATACATTACTTTGCCAACAAAGGTCTGTCTTGTGAAGGCTATGGTTTTTCCAGTGGTCATGTGTGGATGTTAGAGTTGGACTGTGAAGAAAGCCGAGCGCTGAAGAATTGATGCTTTTGAACTGTGGTGTTGGAGAAGACTCTTGAGAGTCCCTTGGACTGCAAGGAGATCTAACCAGTCCATCCTAAAGGAGATCGGTCCTGGGTATTCATTGGAAGGTCTGATGCTGAAGCTGAAACTCCAATACTTTGGCCACCTCATGCGAAGAGTTGACTTATTGGAAAAGACCGTGATGCTGGGAGGGATTGGGGGCAGGAGGAGAAGGGGATGACAGAGGATGAGATGGCTGAATGGCATTACCAGCTGGATGGACATGAGTTTGGGTAAACTCTGGGAGTTGGTGATGGACAGGGAGGCCTGGTGTGCTGCGATTCATGGGGTTGCAAACAGCTGGACATGACTGAGTGACTGAACTGAACTGAAAATCATCAGTATTTTAAAAGTGGAAAAAGAAACTTTTCATTGAATTTGTTTCACATATGAAATTACACTGAAGGATACACCGATTCACTAACATTTAAAGTTACCAGAACCTTTACACAGTGTGGAGAGGTCTTCACATGGCCACATCTCTAAAGCTTCCTTAGAAGCGAGGATGAAAGAACTGTTGGCCACATCTTGCAGTCCTGGATCTCAGAACACACACAGAGAAAGAAGTCTGCAGAGAAATGTTTTAAGCACAAGGCCAATGATAGATACTACATGCACAGAGTCATGGAGAAACAGCTGCCTGGCTGGGACAGATCCTTGAGCTTCATTCACTTTAGACTCACCCAGCCTTTATGTGCTGCTGTGACCCTTTTCTCACCACAGAGGCACCACATAGTTCCTTAGCAATTCAGGCAGCACCTTTAAGAGGCTGGATCAGGGGTAAGACCTAATGCCCACCATGTCCAGTTGCTTTAGGATGCAATTACATTTTGAGATTTTTTTTGGCTTACAGTTGATCTGCATTCTTGATCCAAACGATCCTGTTAACAGAGTGTCTATGGCACTTTAAACAGTTTCCATTCATATAGATTCGCGCTTTCTTGGTCTCCTTTCTAATTGGTATATTTATTTCAATTTACCATAAATATCCAGCCTCCTATCGGGTTACGAAGTTGTTGTCTCCCTAAGAAAAAAAAACGGTAGTGGGCTCTCCAAATACATGACATTTAATTTCATCTTAGAAAAATATACAGTACACTACTCAAAGTGCTGCCATTCTTCTTTATTGTAAGATTTCCATTTAACATGCTTTCACTTGATCCTCCACGGTTTTTATAATAGCACAAATGCTTAAAAGATTAAATGCATTTATGGGAAACCTTAAATCCATAATTCTTAATGGCATATTTCAAATAATTGAGAATGATACATTTACTGATTTTAAAATTTTCAAACAAAAATACGAACCAACATAAGCACATTTCTGACCTATTTTAAAACATTCTCCTCTTTCTTCTACTCATTAATCATTATTAACTGTGGACCAACTTGTATATTATTTCACATGTTATACTGTTATATAGTTAACCTTATTGCTTCAAGATTGTGTGTGCTAGGTCACTTCAGTTGTGTCTGACTCTTTGCAACCCTATGGACTGTAGCCCACCAGGCTCCTCTGCCCATGGGATTCTCCAGGGAAGAATACTGAAGTGGCTTGCCATTTCTTCCTCCAGGGGATATTCCCAACCCAGGAATCAAACCCACATCTCTTATATCTCCTGCGTTGGCAGGCAGGTTCTTTACTACTAGCACCACCTGGGAAGCCCAAGAGATCAGGGCATTTCATGACCAAAGTTCTCAATAAATAATGTATTCCACTTTTCCATTACATTGAAAGTAAAGTTTCAGAAGAGTGCCTGATACTAATACTTGAAGCATAGCAACTGACTCACCGGATAGACACAATAAAGTCTAACGCACTTATCTTCTTTCTAAGAGACCAGTTCATCAATACTGATTGAACTCAATGTGCACAAAAGCATATATTAGGAGAAGGGAACTTCCCCCCAAACACTTTTTTATTTCAAGCCTAAGCTTGCTGAGCCATGGGAGAGTTTATGGCTTCTCCTACACCAGCATCATTAATTGAGATGAATCCTTAATTACAATCTAACACACAACTAAATCCATTAACCTTGTAGATAAGTTAAAACAAATATCTGGACCCAAAAAACGCAGAATCTCCCTGAAGCAGCTGATGACCCTGCCCGGCCCCAACTGTTCCATCCTTGAACAAGACAAGGCAACCAAAGTGAATGCCCTGGTTCCAATCATCACTTTGGGGACACATTAGCTTTTCTGAGCAGAAAGAAGTTGAGGCCACTTAATGACTCCGAGAGGCAGAAAATGAGAGGGCTAGGAGTAGAAATTGGTGACCAGATATGTGCTCCCTCATCACCCAGCATATCACCAGGACATAAGGTGATCAACAGCCAGGGCTCCATAAAGGACAACTCATTGGTAAAGATACTGCAGTTCACAGAGGCTGAGTCTGGGTTAAGGTCACTGGGGTTTGGCCACAGGTCACAGGCTGGAGAGATACCAGGAGAAGGGGGTCTGAGAGCTGCTTCTGCAAGAGGGCTCACTCCCCTTCCTAACACAGGGCATCAGACAACCGATGCTTTATATATATTTTTTTCTTTGCCTATTTTGCTCCTTGAAACTCCTTGAAGCTCCAATACCATATTGCTCCTGAAAGAAGCTCCAATACTTTGGCCACCTGATGTGAAGAGTTGACTCATTGGAAAAGATCTTGATGCTGGGAAAGACTGAAAGCAAAAGGAGAAGAGGGTGGCAGAGGATGAAATGGTTAGATGGTATCACTGACTCAGTGGACATGAGTTTGAGCAAATTCTGGGAGACAGTGAAGGACAGGGAAGCAGGCGTGCTGCAGTCCATGGGGTCACAAAGAGTCGGACATGACTTAGCGACTGAAAAGCAACAACTATTTTGCTGCTTGAAGGCTGCCCTTGTAGGTCAAGCTTATTCTTATTTTACTAACATGACAACCACATCGATGCGGGAGGAAGGAGGTACATTTTCTCTCTGATTTCTAAGCTCCCTGAAGAATGACCATCCCCATCCCCTTCTTATGACCTTGATGGAACTTGTCTATAGACAGGTAGCATCCTCTTGTTTTCTGCACTTCATCCAGTCTGCTACAGTCAGAGTGAGGTGAACAATGAAGGTTCACATTATCTCTTTTAGAAAATGTGCTTTTTCTGAACCAAAGACAATGTTCTGATGGAAGGAATAAAAGTGTAAATGATGGCACTGTGTGTGTGTGCTCAGTTGCTTAATCACATCCACCTCTTGGCCACCCTTCGAACTGGAGCTCTTCAGGCTCCTCTGCCCATGGAATCTGCCAGGCAAGAATACTAGACTGGATTGCCATTTCCTGCTCCAGGGGATCTTCCAGACCCAGGGACCAAACCCTCATCTCTTGCATCTCCTGCACTGGCAGGCGGATTCTTTTTACCACTGGGCCACCTGGGGTTCCGAATAGTAGCATTACTAACATCAGAGGGAAGCAGGGTGGCCTGTGACCTTGTCTGCAGTTCTAGAACTTACTTCATTCCAACTGAAGCGAGTGTGGGGTAGGGTGTGACTTCCTGCCCCTTTCCTTTTACTTCTGTACAGTCAGCGCATCGGTCACTGAAGGGCCAGAGACTGTGCCTCCACGGCCTCTGGAAGGAGAGCCCCGGTGGCTGGTGTTGCCTCGTGAGAGCTTTGGGGCTGTGACAAGCGCCTCAGAGACACCCTGCCCTAGTTCACATCCATCACACCACTGTCCGCCTTTCTCCCTGAGTGATAACCTCCGCTTTTACTGCTCTATACTCCATTAGGTCCACACAAGTATTTGCCTACAGCAAATGACTCAGAAATCCTTCACAGATACACATTTCCCATAGAATATAATAGAAAGGGAGTTGGCGAAAGGAGAAAGTTTAATTTCCCTTGGACCTGCTGCTTATTTTCTTAGAGGCATTAGCTGCATAACTATTTGCTTAGCTGTGAAAGAATCCCTCAAGTTGGAATGGAATCACCATTGTCATCTTCTTGATTTAATAACTTCAATCAATTTTCAGTTTTCTGTGACAATGAAAGGCAAGGGGCAGGGCAGATGACCCTGAACAACAGACAGTACCAGTTAGTATTATTGTTTCATCTATTTTTATTGTTCTCTGTGCTCCACCCTCACCGATTCCTTCCCCATCACTCTTCTCCTTAGCCCAAAGGGATGCAAACTTGGATGTACACCAGATCCATTTAGGGGCAGTATTCAAGTGGCCTGAAAGCATACTGTGTGGTGAGAAATACCAATCTGTTCTGTGCCATTTATCACAGATAACAGGTAAGTAGACACTAAAGCATTTGTGCTTCAGACTTTCTAAGTTCACAACAAGCCAAGTTCTACAGAGCAATAGCCAGCACACGACTCCTGTCCTCTACTCCTTCTCATGTCTTTTGTCCAGGCATCTCAAGGTAGCAGCCCTGAAGAGACCTTTTTTAACCTATAATTTAACATCTCACACCAATCAGATTGGGATAGGAAGTGTTAGTCACTCAGTCATGGCTGACTCTTTGCAACCCCACGGACTATAGACCGCTAGGCTCCTCTGTCCATGGAATTTTCCAGGCAAGAAAACTAGAGTGGGTTGCCATTCCCTTCTCCAGGGGATCTTCCCAACCCAGGAATCAAACCCAGGTCTCTTGCATTGCAGGCAGATTTTTATCGTCTAAGCAACCAGGGAAGCCATGAGACAGGAAAGGAACAAATGACCAAATGCTGATTTTCTGATGGCAAGGGCAGTGAGTGGTACCCAGGAGGACTTCATAATCAGGAGATTTTGGAGACTCTGGAGCTGGGTAAGTAGAAACGTACTCTCAACAATAAAAATATTTGGCAAGAGAAATGGAGAATTTGGGCAAAAGATAAAGAACATATTAGCCACGGTCATTTGCCAGATTGAGCAGGTCGTTTCAGTTGAAGAATGAGAACCTGAGACGAATGGAAGAGATTTGAGGTAAAGCCCGTCTAGCACTTGCTATTTATACATGAAAGGCAAAAACCATGGCAAGGAAACACGCTCCTCCTGTAGAAATGAGAAGAAAACAGGACCTATTGTCAGGAGCTAAGAGAAAGAAACCTGATCCATAAAATTAGTCATAAAGTTTTTTTTTTCCTTCTTTCTGACAAAACCAGGGTTTCATTTCTGCTAATAGTAGTTTCCACATAAAAGAGATGGTATCTTTTCTAGAAAAAAAAGAGGTTCTAAAAGATGTTCAGATTGGTCAGGATGGTTAATCCAATAACTGTAAAAGCTTATTCTTACTCACTTAAGCTATTTAATCCAGAACTTCTCATTAGTTTCTACTTGCATTTTATAAGAGGCCTCTCAAAAGCATCAGTTCAGGCTGCTACAAGACCAAGTATTTAGGACTGAGAAATGATTATTATGGAGTCTATTCAGCCAGGACTGTCGTGGGAGGCTGGGAGGGGATTAGTCACCACCCATTTGATAATGAGACACACTTCAGTGTGGTTCCAAAGAAACCCTCAGTGGAGGGCAACCAAAGGATTTTTAACTTAATGGTTCCTATTTTATTCCAAGGCTATTCCATCTTTTCATTCACAAGTGTTTTGTTCACTATGCTGTCTTCCCTTCCCCTTTAAGGTTATGAAAAAGGATGTGAATTTCGCAGAATTCAGTAACAGTTAAGTCATCTACCAAGAACTTTAAAATCTGGTTTGCATATTTTACTAATTAAATACCAAAGCCTGTTTGAAAGAATATGGAGGAAAGGTACTCTCCTGCACTGGTGTCAGAAAAAATTAAGATCGCCCTTGCACAGAGCACAGGACACACCAGGACCTTCCACTCCCTGCCAGGAACAGGCCTCCGAGAAGCTCCCACACATGCACACAGAGGGACCCTAGAAAGATACTCGTGGAGACATTTCCAGAACAGTGAACAAACCTGCAACAATCTGTGTGTCAAAAAATGGGTAGACAAAATTACAATGTAAGACAGAAAGCTACTAAACAATAAAATGAATAAAATTCATCTATATGTAACCAGGGCTTCCCTGGTGGCTCAGAGGGTAAAGAATCTGCTTGCAATGTGGGAGACCTGGGTTGGGAAGATTTCCTGGAGGAGGGCCTGGCAACCCACTTCAGTATGCTTGCCTGGAGAATCCCCATGGACAGAAGAGCCTGGCGGGCCACAGTCCATGGGGTTGCAAAGGGTCAGACATGACTGAGCGACTAAGCACAGAACATATGTAATCAACATGGATAGTTCTCATAAATGTACCTTGTAATTTGTGAACAAAATTGGAGAATGAGACACTATCATACACATAGCAAGATATAAATGTAAATGTAGAAAACAGAAAATAATCCTCTACTATATATTGCTTTGATACACATAAATCTAGTAGACATATAGAATATGAACATAAGAAATAACCTCAAAATTCACGATGAGAGGTGCCTCTAAGGAAGGAGTGAAGGCACTATTTTATTTCGATTAAAGAAAAAAGGAGATAAACCATATGTGACAAATTTTAATAACTAATAATATTTTAAGGTAGATATATGGACTTATGTTATTCTCTGCAGCTTTTTGGATGTTGATATTTTTAAATAGTGTGTCTTTGAAGACCTTTTATTTAAAAGTCATATTTGTTGTCTAAAATCATTCAGTTGCACATTTACTCGTGTACTCAACAAATATTTGTTGAATATGTCATTAATCCTGGGATGTGAAGAACAGGAAAAGATCCCTGCTCCTGTAAGGCTCACACGAATGGACTAATCTTATTTGATAGGAATAGTGTCACATTCCACCATGTGGGTTTCTATATACAATAAGGAAGGATTTCCATCAGGTTTGAACTTTCCCAAGAGTAACTGCAATGTACTTATTTACAGAATAGCATAGTACTACAGTTGAAATTGTCATAGTACTACAAATATAATTGTCAATATTTATCTTTAATTATCTTTTTGCCAAGAGTTTTTTAAAGGGCATTGAAGCAAATGAGTTTTGAAGATGTTCCAAAGTTATTATCAGACAATCATAACGATAAAAAGACAAATGAGTTAATCTTTCTTTGAAAGTTTTCCAAAGAGACTGATTAATTGGTCAACCTGTCACTAACAAGAACAACAGTATGGGATACAGCAAAACTTGAATTTGGCATAGTCATGGCAACACTACAACAGCACTTCCAACATCTTATGACTCAATTCTGTAGAAATTCAAAACTCAAAGTCTTGTCTCTCCTATTTTCTCCAAAGTAACTATGCAATCTCTGTAAAACAAGCATACATCATCACCTACACTGAAAAAAATCAGGCCCCAATATGGTTGACTAACTCCAATATTATTACTCTTGTCAAACACAATACTACATTTCTCATTCAATTTTTTTACTTGATAAAGATGAAAGGTGCCACTTTTTCAATCATCACCTGTCAGTCCTCACACCTATAGTCAGGCAACCCTATTATTTACTTTCAGAGAGGAACCAGGTCTAAGGGTGAGAAAAATTCAGATACAGACCAGAGTCAGGATCAGGAATAAGGAATCCCAGCATGAGATCATGAAAGCAGGCATGACTCAGAACCAACTGTAAGGACTGTGGGACAGAATTCTCTTCTCTCCAATGCCTTCTCCTGAGACTGCTCATCTATCACGAAGGTTCACGGTTGAACCCATCAGATTAGATGCCTAGTTCTGATTACCCAAGTTATGCTTAGGTCTGATCAAGCAGCAGAAAACAAGAGGACAGATAAGTAAATTAGGCCTTGGTAGAGCTATAGGTATGCGTACACACTCACACTCACACACACACACACACACACACACACACTTGAATTTCAGTCTTTACCTAGCAATTATGAATGACCTCTAGCTAACATAAAGCCTTCCTCTCAGGATAATTTTGACAATTATCAGGAAAGTTTGTGTTAGCTCAAAGCATATTCATATATTATTATCATATGGTACATACACACCCAAAGTGTTTTGATTATAATCTTATTGTAATTTATTGTCATTTCCAGGGAGTTACATTATGTCTGTCAATCATACTGCTAAAAACAAAAGTTTCTAGAAAAAAAAGTATAAAAAGAAAAGTTTCTAATCATTTTCTTTTATAAATTAAATTCACTCAAATTATATAGTAGTACGTTCTAGGGAGTCTGAGAATATAACTAAATGTAAACAAAAAGTATTACTTATTTGCAAGGAATACTTGGCCAAATTTGAATTAAAGAGGAAAAGTTCTAAACAAGTTATCTATGTGAAAAATGAGATACTGAAGCAGATATCAGACTAATTTTAAGATTTTTAAATTTGTTAATTGGATTAGTGAGGCCTCGGCTTTTGTTTTTATCTGATTTCTCAAATGTTAACACAGTAGCCAAAAGTGCAAATTTCAAATGTCAGGGCCGACACCTATGACAAAATCAGATGCAGCATCTGCTTTAGTCGAATTCTATGTATGTGCTGAATCTCTAATGTGAACGAATCACTTATATGAGCCTAAGAAAACTTAAAAAAAATCTATGTGAAGCTCTGCCCTCAAGTGAAATGATGAATATAGCCTGAAGTCTGACACAGGTTTCAAATTCTGGCTCACCTCCTTACCTATGGTATGGCCTTGGGCAGGTGCTTCGCCTCTGTGAACCTCAGTCTTCTCTTATGTAAAATGGGATAATGATAATTATCTGCTACAAGCTGTTGTCAGGATTAAATAAAATAATTTCACAGCATACCTGACAACAAAAGGCAATCAATAAATATTAACTCTCTTCCTCCTGTCTCTTTGCCCAAAGAGAAAGAGAATCACCCAAGAGAAGAGTATTAAGAAAGAACTGGCAACACTCATGAAGGAGAAAATGAATACCACGCTAACAAGTGGAGATTAGAATTTGGGAAGATGTTCCAGTATGCATACATGATAGCAAAGAGACAGGTAAGAATCAATTGCTAGAGAAATATAAAACAGATGCAATAGACCAGTAAGTTTGCAAAGTAGAAACTTAGCCATAAATCTAAAGAAAGAACTAAAATCTAAAGTGAGAACTAATGAGAAACATGAAGACTTTTGATTAAAATACTTCTTAAATTCTAGACTGGAACACGTAAGCGCCGTCTCAAAGTGAACCTTAAGCACAGCAAGGAACCATGAGGAAGTCACTACAGTGAGACTTGGTTTCCCAAACCCCACACAGGCTTAGCAGAATTAACACTATTACTTGTCATCCATCATTAGCTCATACTGTGAGATCCACGAAGGTTTCATAACCATCCTCTACACAAAATCAGGTTTCTGGTCCCACTGGCAGCCAATCAGGAGAACCTCTGTCTGGGCTTTCAAGTGCCCTGGATCAGCTGGATAACTGCAACATGAACAAATATTGTATTTCATCACATCTAAGACACCATCCACAACAGGATACACCACTATTCTATGTACCACTTGGAAATAAAAAATGAAGGATCTGATAGAAGAACTCTAGAGAAAATAGGGAGAGCAAGGGGTTCCATTATTTGGAAA